TGCTCATCGAATGCCAGTCAAGAATAGATTTCAAAAACTACCCGCCTTTCAACCACTCACTTTCGAAAACAGTTCGTTTTATTTTCGATTATCGAGGATAGCCGGCCTGCCCTAATTTTTCTAAAATTTAACAGTATAACATTCATATTATTATAACGAATCAAATAATTTACTGCCGTAAAACTCAAATAATTTGCTTATATATTCGATTTTTCATTTTTAATTAGGTACGCTGTAGAAAATAGCATGAAATCACGCCCTCTGTATTATTTGAAATCAACATAATTAGATATGCCTTAAAAAAACTCTTACCTAAATATTTATTATGTATCATGTACAATAAAATCTTTGTTACTTACAGTTACTACTCCAAAAAAAACCGGTGACGTAAAAATCAATATTGATTTTACCTGTTATCTGAATCATTTGTGTAAAAAAGGTTATTAAATAATTATGTTCGTGTTTTTAATGGGAATCCGAGAATATAATTAAAACCAGCCATACTCAAACTGCGGCTCTCCAAGCTTTTTCGCGGCCCAAAACACTATTATTAACAAAGTGCTTTTTAAAATTATTTCCGTTTTTTAAAATTTTGAGCGAAATGCCCGAAAACATTCATCGGTCGCTGCGCTAAACATCACGCTAATTTTTAAATAAACGATTTGATTAAAATTTGTGGGGTTATTGCAAAAATAAGATAGCTCCACTTTTGGAATTTTCGAGTTAAGTACACTTTCGGCTCCAAAATAATTCAAAAAATATATGGCGTAAACAAGACAATAAAAACTAACTCTTCATTACTACATTCACAATATGCACAAACAAGATGAATGGCATTTATACCGAAACAATCATAACATTGTGTTCAATTGCTAATAGTGTGTCTACCAAAACCAGATAATACACATAATTTATTTTTGATAAATAGTTATTCTTAATAGTGTTTCTGCCAAAGCAACATAAAGGCCAAAACCTCGGTCAAGCCATTTGTTTTCTTTTGACTAAAACTATCTCTGGCCTTTTTCAATTGTTCCGAAATCCACGAGGTGATTACGTCACCCTTTCTGCGACACAGCTATACTTCAAAAATCAATAGATAATAACACGTAATGTCCGAATCGCCGTAGTGAACTAATGATTGGTCAAGCTGTAACGAGTGATTGGTCAAGCCATAACGAGCTCGTCTCTATATTGTTTTCGCGTTAAAACGAACAGCACCATTTCTTAAATTAACGAAACACCATCTTCTCGCACCCAAGCTACTTTGTAAGTCAAACTGTCATTCTCATTTCTAACACAAAGCATTACAAATTAAAGGGATGTGTGATTATATTAGTGAATAAGTTATCATGTCTATTTGATGCAAAAAAACTATCTTTTTGTGAAAATTCGTAAATAAAAATATTAGTGGTAACAGGTGAATTTGAATTTCAACCATACTTTCTAATAGATAATTTGTATCGAAAGATTCAGCTATCCTAAATACATTCCACCAGAAAAATAGATTTAATTTATCAATGAGAGTGTGGGCATTCATATTTATATGCCAAACTTGAACATTATTTATTCAGAGGATGCCTAAAAGGGTGAAAAAAGTCCCTGAAAATACTTACAAAAAAGTGCAAGTAGAAAAATTTACTAAAACTTTGTAAATCAGATGCTATACCTGATGAATTTCACCATTATTATCACAATCTACCTGAATCAAATAATGTTAAAGACATGGTACCAGAATCTTCCATTAAATAGTGACACATACATAAAATAGAGTTTTTTTCTCTTTTTTTATTGCCATTCGATAGATTCTGTGTGTATAGATTTAAGGGGCCGGGCCCGGGCCAACAATGGGCCCAGGTTCGTCAGATTTGTATGGTGTCGCGTATATCTATCACGAGACGGAAAGCAACGAGCCTACCACGGGCCGGGCCAAAAGAATCAAAATAGGCCCGTTTGCTTTCCATCGCGAAGTATACAGGGTTGGGATAAAGTATGGAACCAAGTAAATATCTTTAAAACGAAAAGGACGATATTTATGAAACTTTGCGGGCAAGTACAATGACGCATAACGCATCTGATGCCATATTTTTTGTTACTACTGTACTTCCGGTTTCACCGGAAATACCCTCAACTTTTTTTATATACAGGGTGTCCCCTTTAAATTAAAAAAGTTAAGTGTATTTCCGGTGAAACCGGAAGTACAGTAGTAACAAAAAATATGGCATCAGATGCGTTATGCGCCATTGTACTTGCCTGCAAAGTTTCATAATTATCGTCCTTTTCGTTTTAAAAATATTTACTTGGTTCCATACTTTATCCCAACCCTGTATATACGATACCTTACAAATCTGACGAACCTGTTGGCCCTGGCCCAGCCCGTTATATCTATACGCACCTTTAGTTTATACTTTGTGAATACTATATTTTAAATACCTTTTTCATTGAAGTATTTGTTTATTAAACAGTTTGAAGCTGTTACTGATTTTTTATTCAATTTTAAACTTTTGAACAGAGTTTTCTCAAAACTCTAAAAATGTGAGTTATCTTGTTTTTGTAGTAACCCGACACGATATATTTATGTTTTGTGTTTTATTTATTAGAGGTCGCCACTAATTTTAAATGGATGGACTAAAAAAAAGGTCATAATCCAAAATTATTGCAGCCTGTGTAACATAGCAAACATGAATGTGGCCCGAAGGAAAAAAGGGTTATGGCTGTCTAAACCAACGCTAAAGTATATCCTTAATAGTAATAGACGTAAGCCATAAAAGTTCCAATTAAAAGAATAAATCTACGAATGTCTATTGTACTGCAACTGTTTTCGCCATTTGACGATGTATAAGTACATAGGCGTATTAATTTACTTTTAACCGTTTTTATTATACCACAATTTGCAAACAAAAATAGTAGGTAAAAGTAATAGATATTACTGAAGGAACTAAAGTCAAAATTATTTAAGTAATTAATTTTAATCAGTAGCGGATTTAGAGCCCCCTAGAGCCTTTTTAAATAAAGGAAAGTATGGAATGAAACAAGAAGCTGTAGACTTGCCAGAGCGCTTTTAAGTTATCCTGACAATACAGTGAACAAATACTTGACTATGACTAGATAGAATCTGCGCCTGATCACAGGCATTCTGACGACATTGCCAACTGCGGAAGCATCTCCATATCATGGGGCTGTCAGAATCTGCACTCTGCAGGGGGTGCGAATAAGATGATGAAAACATCAAGAATATCATCTAAAATTGACTAACACTGGCCGATATAAGACAAGCACCTCTTAGCGACTTTGTCAACTACATTAAATCTGTAGGCTAGGTCACGAGCTAGAAGGTGCCTATCAACTTAGTGGGATGCACAATGAGCCTAGGGAATCCTAAGTGCAGTGGGATAACCTACCCTCCACACATTACAGATATAGAGAACATTCTGTCTAAATGAATTTTACATCGTCATCTCCAAAACTGTGATTTTGATTATTTTTTAAATATTTACAAATGTCTTAAATTCTTTGTACATTTAAAATTTCTGTAACAAGTCTCTACTAATAGGCTTTCAAAAAGATGACCACACTTAAAACTTACCTAAGATCTACCATGCTAGGATCGCCTAACGGTTTTAGCTTTAGTATGTGTGTGTCCATCAAAATATAGAATTAGATATAGACAAAATCATAAATCTATTTTTAAATTTAAAAAAATTACACCAGGTGGTTTTAACCCTTTTACAATTTCCTTCGAGTGCTTATTGTAAGTAGGGAAATCCACTAAAATGTACTTCTGCCAAATTTCATTAAATTTGTTTCACACATTTCTAAACAGCCTACAAAAATGTGATTTTTTAAGTAAACTTTGAACTCTTCACATGGACAAATGGTACCTTTTGGTTTGGGTTCAATCGACTTATTTGGACCTCTACAATATGTGCTTTTTCGGAACACCATGTATAAATATTCAGATAGCTCAAAATTTCGATAATCGATGTGACTTTTTTAATATAATATACAAATCCGATATTCAAATTGAATCAGTTTTACCATTAAAAGTTATTATTGGTTTCATTTTGGTTCAAACAAAACTATCAATTCCAGTTCATAAACACAGTTGACCAATTAATTTTTTAAGAACACGTCATGATGTTATAATAACCTCTTAGCTGATTGAGTGTAATTCAGTGATTCTTAACTAGTTTGAGAAAGAACAAACAACAAGACTATTAATTAAAAATCAGTTCAGGATTCTTATCACAAATGAAGTTATTACCAGGATTGTTCATTTACCAACTGTTTAGAACAGCCTCTGTATACTTATGAGGAAATTTAAATTACCTGAGCTGATCGAGATCCATATTATGAATTAAAAAGTCGATTGCAATTAGATTAGAGTAGTTAACCTTGGATAATCAGGAAAGTGTTAGTAAATAGGCTTGTAAGAATATTAATTTGATTGTATTAAATCATGAAGTTTACTGTATTATAAATTACAATACAATAAAAGATTTTTAGACATGTAATTTTTATTATAGGATATTTTTATGGTTATGATGTAACCGGGGGTCATACAACTTTTATAAAAAGTAAAATAAAAGTATAAAATTCACAAACATAAAAATTTAATTTTTATTTTTGTTGTCTTAACAATAACGGAACTTAATAACTAATTAGGTATAACGGAAATAATAACCAGTCGAAGATATTGTATTTTTGTTTCCTTGTAAATAAAGTTTAATCAGTATAAACAAACTTATCTTTAAATAGAAAGATAAATAATATATGTAATTTTTTTCTCTTATTGATTTTAAATAAATTTATTTATAACAACGTTTGTTTACGTTATCTCCAACGGATAATGATTTATCCACACAGTTATTCAACTTTTAGTGCTTAAAAAAATCGTATTTTCTTTATAAATTCTAAAATATTTCGTAACATCTATGGAATTCTAACTGGGAATGGACGTTCTCTCATTAAAATTCACATGATTAATCAATTTTTCGCCTTACCTTCCTAATAATTTCAAAAAACAGCCAAAACCCCGCACAGTCGCGACGTCTGCATTGTATGTAACAGTCATTTTTTGTACTAAAAATTAAAAAAACGCACACAAAGAACAATTAAAAATAACTTTGTCACAGTTTTCTTCGAAAGTTGAAGAGAATTTTATAAAACATAATAAAATTTATGTTTGAATTGTGTGGCAATTTTGTACTTAGAAGGTCGGAAGTGAATCATTAGCTAAAATAATTGCCAAGAGCAAATACTTCAATTTTCACTTCTAATTTTTTAGGTTATGTTTTGACTGTTTTTGACAGAACAATTTAACAGGTCGCTACATTGGCCACATAGTAAAGGATACTGTTCGTTTTCTAATGATCAAAACTAAACTAACGACTTATTTCTCCTTTGTTACCGGGTTTACTTCATTACTTATTATTTACACAATTATTTTATAAATCTTAAAAGTACCGAATATGAATACCGAACTAATTTAAAAAAAACAAAGTTATAAAGCGTAACGTAATAGTAAAAGGCCAATAAATATACGAATCTACACAATTTGTAGATACAAACACCGATTCGAAACGAAAGTACACGAACTAGAGTAACGTTGCCAAACTTACACAAATATAACTAACTTGTATCTGATATTTTTTTTAACTACCTTTAGTTACGAGGAGCGTTGCTAAAATTCTCGGAATAAAACACTTATTTTATTGTCAGCATTCTACAATAATTCTCTTGTATAGTTTGAAGTTTTAAACCTTTAATTCAGTTGACAGTCCGGTTTTAAACCGAGCAGTTTCGTTTCAACCAAAATTAATTAATTAATTATGTGAAAAATTGAAATTTGGAATCGTGATTTTCGAGTGACAATATTTTATGATTTTCGGCTGTGTTTTCGGTACGATTTAACGTCGCAACCAGTGGCATAACTACCATAAGACAAGTATAAGTGCTTGCGTTGCCCAGACAGCACACCAAATCCTTTGGATATCTACTGGACATCCCAATATCCACTGATTGTCCAGTCCATGGTGGATATCTATTTTATGTCCATGAGATGTAATTTATAGACATGCAAATGTCCATAATTAATAGTAATTATATATATTAAAAAATTACGCCATTGTGACTATAAGTACCGTTTAAATATATTTAAAATTATTTTTTTTAAGGTGTATTCAATATCGCATGGATATCCACTAAATATGTAAAAGTATAGGCGCGAACGCAAACCATGGTGGATATCCACTAGATGTAATTTATGGATATGAAAATATTTGAATTGACTTAATAATTATTAAATTACTTAAATATTACGCCATGTGTTAACTAATTAGTTAAGAAAGTAGTAGGTATGGTTTATAGAACTTTAAAATTAGTAAGTTGTATATTCAATATCTCACAGATATCCGCTAGATAAATAATATTGGCAATGAACACGAGCGCAGGCGCAGATATTTTCTATCCTCACAGGTGCCATCGACCATTTTATAGTTTGTTTTCGTTTTGTTTGTGTCGTGTGCAAACTCATGCACACGACATTTGATAATTTTGGATTAAAAGGAGGTAAAGTAAGCTTTAAAACTTAAATTTATTAGTGTAAAAGGTTGATAGACTTTAGTTAAATAAGACAATGGTTAAATTCACGTTATTAAGATTGTTAAGTAGGTTTTATGCAATGTACCTTAAAATCCGTGTCCTTTTTAGGTAATTCTCCACTACGATACCCTATTTTATTATAATGAATTATTGTTTCGGTTTGGTTTTAAGCTATTGCATAGCTTTTATCGCGGGCTTTGAGCGCGGCGACCGAATCAAGAAATTCCGTAACGACCGTAACGAAAATAAACCTAAAACCCCCCACTCCGACCGGCACAGTGGTGCGGCGTTGAATGCCGTGAAAGGTTTTATCCGAATTTGACCCTAATCGTATTAGTATGAAGCGGAGTTAAATATACGTCTGCGGACTGGAACGTTTATGCAATACAAGAACTAGAAGAGCTTTCTCTGGCTTCTAATAAATTGGTATCACAAATGTTCCCGGCTGGCGTAAATATTAGATATTAATTTTTTAGCAAGATTTATAAAATATTAATTTTAAGCTATTGCATAGCTTTTATCGCGGGCTCTGAGCGCGGCGACCGAATCAAGAAATTCCGTAACGAAAATAAACCCCGACTCCGACCGGCACAGCGGTGCGGCGGAATAACCTACATGTATTGTAAGATAATAAAAATATTTTAAACAATATTAACTTCTCATAAAAGAACATCGAAAAATCAAAAAATCAAAAAATCAAAAAATCGAAAAATCGAAAAAATGAAAAAACGAAAAACCGAAAAATCGAAAAAGAAATTACGTATCGAAAATAAACCTAACCCCCCCCCCCACTCCGACCGGCACAGCGGTGCGGAGTTGAAAGCCGTGCATCGTCTAACGTCGTTTCAGTTCAACAGACTTCAGCACGGTTTTTGTGTGCGTGCGACTAGACGTATGGGTGTAGACTAGCTGCTAACTGCTCATAACTGATTCTTTCTCTTTTAGACATAATTTCGGAAAAATTGAATTTGATAATGAATAATGATCCACAAGAATCCACAACAAAATATGGGACCACCATTGACGCGGTATTTTCCAGATATTTAGAGGATATCAAGTCTCAAACTTATATGTTTCTTATTTCAGTTACCATAAACCTATAGTTTCAATGATAAAAAATCCTGAATAACCTACATGTATTGTAAGATAATAAAAATATTTTAAACAATATTAACTTCTCATTTATTCAATAAAAGAAAAAAATGTGTTTTCTTATCGGTCACCACGCTCAAAAAGTGTAACTTGAATTAATATCAAAGAAAAAAAAATACTGCATAAATAAAATAAATAAATAATTATAATTGCATAAATTGATAAAAAATGCTATGCAATAGCTTTACCGCGGCAGTCCCCGAGTGCCACACGTATTTTTATTATTTAATGGTTGTTATAATTAATTAGAAAGAGGTAATTTTTTACTGGTTAAGGCAATCTTATTACATCTGCCTTGTATTCAATTACATGAATGAATAATTTAACAAGAACAAGTAAGGTTAAGTTATGTTTAGCTGGACCAACAGTTTAGATAAGTATAATATATACACAGATCCCCCTTTTAAGTGGCACTCTGCACAGAAGGCTTTTTTCAGGCTTCATTTTCGTTTTGGGTATAGCGTGATTTAAAATATAGTTTTACTTTTTGAGGAGTTCTACAACAGAGCGTCTTTTTTTTTCAGGAAAAAAATTCCAGTTAAAATTGCGACGCCAATATACCTATAATGTGTATGTATGTGTGATTAGGTTTAATTTTTCCTTGGCTGCGGATACTATGTTCATTCGTCAGCTTAAATGTAATATGTTATTTAATATAATAGTATGTTTATACCATAGTTTACTTTTTTTAAATATATTTAGCCTGCTCATAATATTTGTCTTTGTTTTACCTAACTATATACTTAATATAACAACAATAAAGAATAAGATTTATATTTGTAAGATGCTTATATATTAGATAACTCCGTGAGTTACATTTAATTTAAAACTTACTTCACATATTCAATGATATTTTGGTGTTTTTTTAGGTATGGTGTACAATATTTAATTGTAAAAATAAAATGTTGATACTCTTTCTTCTCTACATGCTATACCTATGCTGTGTAGCATCGAAAATAGTTAATATTAGAATAGTAAACTTTGTATAGGTGTATATATACCAAATTTAAAATACAGGCCGTTCCGATGATATGCTACTGAAATGCTGATTTTCTTCATATGGAATGTTTTTAGATTATGTAGTACATTGTTCCACTTAACTTTAAAAAAAAAATTAATGAAGAATATAATTTTCGATATCTTAAATATATCAAATAATGGATGTACACTGAATATGTCTATATAGGATATATCCATTGGTTACTTATGAACCTCTACTAAATGTACCCAATAGATATTTTGCTGGATATCCATAGAAAATCTTCTATATCCTGGATATAGACGGACATTTGGATGTCCATATTAGATCCACGGGATATCTTAACAACTTTTATCCTGAAAAAATTAGCTAGAGTTAAAAGTTTTCAGTTTACAAAAAAAGGAATGTATTAAATTTAACACACAGTGCTGGTAAGATAAAACCTTGGGTCCTGCTTCTAGCTTGCGTCGACATAAGTGAGTTTTATAATTTTGTCAAAATTAGGTTTGTTCCAACTTTCCGCCATTGAGGTATTTTCTTTCGCCAGCGCTATCGCCGATATACATATCACTTATTCTCACCTCAACACAAAACACTCAGTTCACTTTATAATTACTTTACCACCAACATCAAACAAATATCAAATAACACAGTATAACCTTCTTTTTTTTCTTCGTTAATCTAACTCACTTATATAATTATTTAATGCCGAAAATTGTAGCTGTTGTTCATTTGAAATTAAATGATAAGTTTTCTGTCCTTCTACTCTTGCAAAAACAAAACGTTGAATTTCAAGTTATTGATTCAAAGCCAACAATGCCAGTACATAGAAAGTCCTACAGACGTCCCATTAACGTCTTGGCCTCGGACCGAAAACTGAACGCTTTGTCGAAACGGAACCAAAATAGGACGTCCAGATAACGTCCTACGAAGGACGTCCTAGTGTTCACGGTAATCGGAAGTCCAGTAGACGTCCGATTTAGATCCCGGACCAACCTAACTAAGGACCGATTCCACCGTTGTGTTAAACGTAGATTAAAATGACGTTGTTAATGTAAAAATGTCACTTTAAACTTCGTTTAACACAACGGTGGAATCGGTCCTAACCGGACCAAATCAGGACGTCCATGGGACGTCCTGTGCTATCTGGGTTACTCCGTTTTCGAAAAAAAGGATGTTAATAGCGAGGTTAATAGTATAGTATTCAACGAGCGGGTAATGATGGCTGTGGGCTCACGAGTAAGTATTAGCCATTACCCGCGAGTAGATTACTATACTTTTTCTAGGACTATTTAACAAAATAACACCGACACCGCGACCATTTTGACAGCTGAAGCGACAAAGTGAAGTTGACGGTTGACGTATGTTGCCAACAGTGCTGCCAGATAGGTTTCATGTCGAATTTTCTGATTGGTTCTTAAACAGTTAATTAAAGACATTAGATTGTTTCATTGGTTAAAAATAATTGAGTACGAAAGAAATAATTGAGTAATGAAAGAAATAATTGAGTATTAAAAGAAATAATTGATTAATAATACGTGTATTGTTAAATAGTAATAAAAAAAATAAAATTATTATGAATGACTATAAATTAGCAAAAAATCAGTTAAATAAACCTTGCTTGTGGAGTACGGTATAGGTAAGCAACAACTTCATCATTTATCTACGCCACTGTCTAAATTATTTAAATATATCATGTAATCTTGTTGGGAAATAAAAAAAAAAATCAATATTACAAAATTTTTAAAATTAATTATAATAAAAAATATCCCATCTTTGGGTGAGAATATTTCGAAAACCAATCACTTTATAGGTTCCCAACAAGAGTACGTGGAGGAGGTGGGTTGGCTCAGTGGTTAGAGTCATACTTTGAGATCGAAGGGACTCAGGATCGAATCCCGCTGCTGGCAGGGATTTTTATTTAAGTTAATAAATTAAATATTAATTCTAATGCATATAGGTAGGATTCCCAACTCGACCATTTACTGTTGGGTTCTAATAAAAAGTGCTGTTCCTAAAAGTGGCGCTGGGAAACAGTATCAAAACCTATACAGAACACACGAGGCTAATAACTTTGGTAGTTGATGCCGATGAGACCAAATTTTAAAAAAAATACATGTTTTATTTAGAAACATCAAAAAATTTAAAATTATAGTCCAAATAAGTTTATGGACAATGGGATAAAATTTAAAAGGAATGAAAACTTACCCATGCCGTGCACCACTGACAAAGTTTATTTAACTGAATTTTTTTACTGATACCAAAAATGTTTACCGATGAATTTAGTAATATTAGACTGAGAAATAAAAAAAATTATAGTCATTAAAGATTTTTGTATTTTCAACTTTAACACCCTTTTTTTAACCGACTTCAAAAAAGGAGGAGGTTCTCAATTCGTCGCGATATTTTTTCGGAAACGAGTAACATTTTATCTAAGCATGTTCAGTTAAGGACCGATTCCACCGTTGTGTTAAACGGAGTTTAAAATGATATTTTTACATTAACAATTCCATTTTAATCTCCGTTTAACACAACGGTGGAACCGGTCCTTAACCATCTTATTTTTAATCAAAAAATGTTCATTTGTTCTATATGTCCCATTCTTAGTGTATGTAAAATAAATTAAAACAAAGCTGGTTTTATTTTTATTTAGTATTTGTGGTATGTGACTGAAAGAGGAGCTCCTTATATATTTTGTGTTGGGGCCAACAAAATCTAGTTACGCCACTGACCGCAGCAATGTAGAAAAAAAGTTCGTTATTTGACGATGATTTAGTTTAGATATACACCATCAAAAACTATTGTTTGCACAATTCAAGCTTGGAAGGCCAACGTTTGAAGATCGTCCATGTAGCATGGAGGCGATGGAGGCCATGTCACTGGTATTAAACACATCTATCTAGGGATGCGCACGATGTATCGATGTTAAAAAAACATCGATTTTTCTCTTTCGATTATCGATGTTTTTATCGATATTTTTTTATGCGATGTTTTTATTTAACATCGATGTTTTTTTATCTAATATCGATGTTTTTTAATTTTACGTGATTTACCGCCCATAGATGGAGATATTTTTTTTTATTAAAAATGTTAATACTTTTATTATTATGTAGGTATTTATTTTTTTATTTTCGATTTACTGATTTAAAATTTGGCCAGGTAGCCTAATTAGAAATGTACTAATAAAAATATTATTTATCCTGAATTAGTGAATCCCGAGTAAAACAACTTATTTGTATATTCTTCATTATCGAGTCAAAGTTCTTGATTTTGATTATTTTTTCCCATTTGAATAATGATTTATTCCATCTAATAATTAATATAATTAATCGTAGAAATTAAATTGATTTATTAATTAAGCGTGTTTTTTGCAATGTTCCTATCAGAAATTTAATCTTAACATTTTTTAATAATTAAAGTTATTCTAATTTTGACTTATAAAGTGGCATCTTTTGTAATCGCAGCAAGTGTCAAAATTATCTACTAACTATATTAAGTTGAATACATTGCGAAAAGAAAACAAATAAAAATAAACCATTTTTGGTATTAAATTCAATGTTTTCGGAGAAGGAAGGTTGGTTATATAAAAATAAATTTGGTCGGTGAACTTATAATTAGTAATAGTTCTGGTTCGTTTGCTATTTTAAAAATCTAAATCCATTATTAATCTGAACAAAATAATCGAAACAAACGACAGTGACATAGTTTTATTGTAAAAAAACTAAAAATATTTATACATGTCTATGCAAAATAACACATTTTCTTGAAAATTAACAAGTTTTGACAAGAAAATGAAAACTGTAATGATAAATATTTTAAAAGTATCAGATTGGTTTAAAGTTAACTATTATTTTCCAATCTTTATTTTTTAATATCTTTGATTGGAAGTACAAAAAAATATTGGTTAGTCATTTTTTATCAAACACAGTTTTATAAATAATTTAGTCAAAATTAGAAACAATTAAAATTTACCACCATTAAATTAAATAATAAACACACATTAGGACGACACTGGCTGTTCCTGCTTTCTACCACTTTTTACCTTTCGCTGATGTAGTCCAGCTCGTCTATCGGTTTATCTCGGCAAGGTAGAGAAAGATAATGAATTGGGCTACTGTATATTCCCATACTTTTGTAAAGTTCCAGTTAATTTTATATTTATGCTTTTTCACATTTAAAGTTCTTGATTTTGATTATTTTTTCCCATTTGAATAATGATTTATTCCATCTAATAATTAATATAATTAATCGTAGAAATTAAATTGATTTATTAATTAAGCGTGTTTTTTGCAATGTTCCTATCAGAAATTTAATCTTAACATTTTTTAATAATTAAAGTTATTCTAATTTTGACTTATAAAGTGGCATCTTTTGTAATCGCAGCAAGTGTCAAAATTATCTACTAACTATATTAAGTTGAATACGTTGACATTATTCTTATTAATATTATGCTAAATAAAATGTATTTAAAATTAATAAACAACAATAATACGTATTTTTATTTAATTTTCATATTTTTCAAAAATATAAAAAAAAAAAAATGCATCTATTGTGAATTGAAGAACCGCGTCGCGAAATGCAAAATTGACTACATGTTCAATGCTTAACTGAGCCAAAGAGTCATGTCAAGTGTGTGTATTTTATATGTTTTTAGTTTTTAGGACCGATTCCACCGTTGTGTTAAACGGAGATTAAAATGACATTGTTAATGTAAAAATATCATTTTAAACTCCGTTTAACACAACGGTGGAATCGGTCCTCAGTTGACTAACGTCTTGTTTGCAGGAATTTTAAAACTAAATCCTTGCATATGACACTTCCTGATGGTCCCGCCTAACACTTTACAAAATTCCAGCCGGGAGGTACGATCTATGGGTACGATCTATGGGTACGATCTATGGGTACGATCATACCATAGATTTCATATTTTATTATCTAAGAAGGATCGTAATAAATAAAAATAAAATTCTTTCCATTGTCTTGTTTATTTGTTCGTTTATAAAAAACATCGATGTTTACAAAAATCGATGTTTTCTTTCCGATTTTTTTACAACATCGATAGTCTGTATTCGATGTATCATTTGATGTCAACATCGATGTTTTAAAAATTTTGCGCATCCCTACATCTATCTATGCTATGCCTGAAATTATTTTATTAAATCGGCATGTGACATTGTGGCAACATTGAATAATCATTGGTTTAATCAACTCGCACCAGAAAAGTGGTTAGAGTCACTAAACGATTATATTATTTTGACATTGACGTTGTTGACATCCATAATCCCAATACCTATCTTTTGGTGTTGGACGAAAAGTAGTTTTTTATGTAATGATAAAAATAGTTTTTATATACGGGAATCAACAAAAAAATTATATAGGTTATTGAGTTATATTTAAGCTTCAAAACTAGTCTATATTTAGAGAAAAATGTCGATGAATTCGAGTCCAACTCACTTTCCAGAAGACGCGTTTGTCACGGATGCTAATTTTAAAGTTGGAATTAATCAAAAAATGAAGGTACCGGACAGAATAAGTTTTTCAACAGAGATGAACGGCGATAGGACGGGGTCTTGGACCCGAGATAGTTTAAATATGAACGTACCAGAAAGGATATTAGTTGCAGGACAGCACCAACATGTAGGCAAGTGATGCTTTTTTTATTTCTATTTTACGATAAAGTTTCCAAATACTTTTTTAATATCATCTAGTTAGAGTCTAGAAAAGATAAAAGTGATTTATTTATTTAAGTTATCAGAAGAATGTTGTTATTCATAGTTGGCTAAATATCAACAATTTTTTGAAATTATAGTAAATTTGAGGTATGCAAATTCCGTTAATTTTTAATATTTGAAAGCAACACATTGGTTGATTGGGAATAAAGTTATGTGTAGGATTGATCAATGTTAATATATTGTGCTATACATGACTGAAAAAATTTTTCTTACTAGGCACTAGAGCTCCGCCAAGAGAAATAGTTTTTGACAATTCCATCCTTACTTCTGATCCTTATCCCTACGATTTACCTCGCGTAGCCACCCCTCCCAGAACTTTAACCCTGGATAAATACCCATTTCCTGGTGTGGAAGACTATGAAGATCCCGAAGTAGAAAACGAACGTTTACCTGTTGCCAAGAAGCAGCCTCTGAAGTTTCACATGAACGACGTCAGTTTTCAGGTCAACAGTTCCCAATTGAATGACACTGGAAGCCACTTGTATGGAGCTAGTGGAGAGGTATGTTTGTACACTGACTGGTCAGATGAAAACGTATCAGAATCTTTATGTCACACTGTTGCCAGGTCACTCTGGTCCAAATATTCAATGTGGTCAAAATTCTTATATTTTGTGTCTATTATCATACTTAAAAAAAAACTTTAATCTCAGTCTGCTAAAATAAATATCTATGCTATGCATTAAATTACTTATAAAATTAGATCTTAAATGAAATGTCACACTTTATATAAAAGTACACTCTTTGAAAATGATTTTAATTTATTAATTACTTAAATATCTATAAATAAAAATAATTACTTATTAATCCTTTTCGATCACTATACAGTGATGTAGGATATGTCAAAAAATAGGTACATATTGGACAAAACATAATTTATATTTAAGCATAGGTATCACATTAACTAATATACTCTTTAACACTATAAAAACATTTTGTTACTATTTTTTTTGTTTTTTTATAAAATTAAGCTTTCTGTTGGCAATTGAAGCATCCAGATTTTTATTTTACATTAATTTCTGTTTTGTAATAAGCGATTGATTCATTTTTTTGATGTCATACTGGGTACTTTCCCTATATAAATTTTATTGCTTAGAAGGACTAAAGGCAGCGGTCTAAAATGTAAACAGAGTTCCTAATAATGGCTCTAGTATGTTTTCCTCTGACATATTTTTTCTATATTTTGTAAACTATGGGTTGTGCAACAAAAATAGCTCTGACCTTTTTTTATATTATTATTTTTCTAACCATTTCGTTAAAAACTTTTTTCTAATGTTCATATTTATCCCCAAAGAAATTACCATAAAATTAAAGTTTATCTCCAAAATCGATCTAAACTTAGCCCCAAATGTACCTCACTTTTCTTTTTTCCCTCTTTTTTAGGTTTTTCTTTCTCTTTCCTCCGTTTTTTTTATTCCCTATTCTCTTTTTCTCCATTTCCTCTTTTTTCTTCTTTCTCCCTTTTCTTTCGCTTCTTTATTTTATCTTTCTTTTTCTATTTATTTTCATATTTATTTTTCCTTTTCTTTTCCTTGCTTTCATTTTCATTTTTTTTTTATAATTTTTATATAACTTTGATTCTCTTCAATTTTTGTTATACCATTTTCGTGTTTTTTTTTTTTAGGGTTTGACACCAGCTGAAGAAGTTTTGCATTTGCGACGCCAGATGGCAAAGTTAAATAGGCGGATAATGGCTCTAGAATTGGAAACCATGAGCAGGCTGCAGAAAGAAAAAATCGTCGTGGGATTCGGTATAGCTTATTTTCTATTAAAAGTTATCATATGGATGAATAGGGACTAAAAATAAGATTTTCATTTTTTGATTTCTTTTGACTGTTAGAAAAGTAAAAAAAATAGTTTTTAGGAGTCTGAGTTGTCCTAATATCTGATTGGGACAGTATTGTGCTTAGAAATCTTGAGGAAAATGGCGTCATTTTATTTTATGATAGGTTATATTTTTTCTTATTTTTATTAAATATTTAAATTGGTACATGCAGTTCTTTTAACTGACCTTTTACTAGTACTTTTATTCGCCCTTCTCTTTATTGTAAGCCCTATAAGGAATAGGAGTACGAGAATTCTATATCAATTATAGGTTTACTTCCCCATCGAAGGAAGGTACATTTCCATTTGGCAACATAACTTAAAATATTCCTAAATTCTGTTTAAAACAGTACAAAATATTATTATTCCTTAAATTTAAAGAACATTTGACTCCATTCGGCAACTATGCACTAAAAATTAATTCAAAATACATGGTTTTGTCCAGTTTTATAAAAAATCATCTGATAAGATTTAAACAAATATGTAACTATCATTTCTTATAAAATATTGGCAGTGGTACATGTTTTTGGGATCTTGAAAAGGGAATCGTGAAAAAACTTTAATAACGTCACATTTATGACGTTTGAATAAAATGAGGCATTAGAAACGTTACATTTTTGGCGTTTTAAGTTAGGAAAGCATAAAAAAGTTATAAAACATTGATTTTTTTGACATGTTAACCAAATAATGCGTGCTTGGTAAAACGTTAGAAATGTCCCGTTTTTGACGTTTGAAACTGCAATAAAGTGTTAAAAATGTCATTTCTAAAAAGGAATTCTTAAAAAAATCAGACTGTCAATTTTTTGTTGTATAAACTTAATTATGCATATAAATCGTTAGAAACGTCACGTTTTTGAATTTTTATTGTTCAAAATGTTACATTTTTGATCATTTAAATATATATATCCTAGAATTCGGGGAAAACTTGTCAAAATACCTTTTTCCCAGATTTAGAGAAACTTCGACACTATCTGACAACATTATAACAAAAAAACTTCCCAGATCTTGAGGAAAAACAGACTTTTTCGCGTATTTAGGGAAAAAATACCTCAAATATTTTTGACGTTTTAAAAAAGGGAAGCATTAAAACGTTACCATTTTGTTGTTTTAAAAAAGGAAAGTGTCAAAAACGTTTGAAAACATAAATTTTTTAGACGGTTTAACACTATTATTAATAGTACTCTCCCTAATTTACCTTCTTACGAGTGATTTTTAACCCAAAAATCTGAGCATGTCTGGGGAAGGGACGCCTATTATTTTATTTGCCTTGGCGCTCCGGGGCGACCTAAAGATGATTTATGGTGCTAGTCTACTTACAGGTGAGAAAAACCCCACCCACCATCATCATAATACGTGGTAAAACAAAAATGTCATGTTTTGTTTAAAAAAAAAAGATTAGCTTTAAAAACTTTACACGTTTTTGGCAACTTAAAAAAGGAAGCGTGAAAAACAAGTTTAAATAAAGTGAGACATTTGAGACGTTACGAGTTAGGCACTTTAAAAAGGGAAACGTACAAAAGTTATAAAAGATGCATTATTTTTGACGTGTTAACCAAATAATACGTGCATGAAAAAACGTCAAAATTGTAACATTTCTAAACGTTTTGTAAAAATACCTGAAATAACCACATTTTTGACGAAAAAAGTGAAGCATTAAAAAATTCTTTTTGTCTTTTTAAAAATGGAAAACTTAAGAAAACATACATTTTTTAGACGTTTTAACATTAACGTTGGAAAACATTAAAATGTCCTTTTTTTATTTGAACGTTACACGTTTTCGGCATTTTAGAAAGGGAAGCATGAAGAAACTGTTTAAAACGTGACATTTGAATAAAGCGAGGCGTTAGAAACGTTGAATTTTGGCGTTTTAAGAAGGAAAGTACAAAAAAGTTATAAAAAATTCATGTTGTTGATGTGTTAACTAAATAATGTGTGCATAGAAAAATGTTAAAAACGTGACGTTTTTGAATTTTTAGCGTTAATAATGTTACGTTTTAGATCATTTAAAAAAATAATACATAAAAACTTTATTTTTTTATGAAATATTGCCGGATAATGTTCAGTATGGTCTCTTGATGGGGTAATAGACCGAATCTGGTCTAAAACTCTCATTCGCCTACTTCTGAATAACGAGTTTCTATCTCGCTTTTTAAATTTGCATGCTGATTGTAAATAAAAACTTACAAACAAATATTAGGATTACGAGATGAGACTCCAGTAGTTTTATATTTATATATAACTTCTTACCTTATTTACCTATTTTATTACTATTGATTTTTATTAGAAAACATTTCAATGATGCGACATTTGCAGCAAATATCGAATTTTATGTTCTAATAAATAAATCGTATTGGAATTCTGTCATGCGCTCATTCAACAAATATACTTTTGTATAAAATTGTATAGTTTGCTATGTTGAGGCTGCCTGTCTAAAAACGCTATTTTTTAATTTATTTGTTAATTGGAATATTTTTAAGTAATTATGGTGAATTATCAAAATACTGTGTATATCCAAAATATTTTTTTTTTTAATAAATTGTTATTTCCAATTGGTGACTCTTCTTTTTCCTAAACAATTTTGTTTTATTAGTTTTAAATAGGCAAGATTAAAACAAAAAGAAACCAAATTTTTAACATTTTATTTATTTCACTAACACATTACACAAAAAAAAACAAGTAGTTATATAAAAAAAAAGGAAAAGGTAAAATTGTATAAAAGACTTATAAATGACACATACAAGATTGAACTAAAAACACAAGTAACAGTTAAATAAGTAAATAGGTTAGACATTACTGAACAACTTAAGAATTCTCTACTTAGAAGGACATTATAGGAATCATGATTTTTTCGACGGATTTTTACGTTTTGGGGTCCTCTGAATCCGTTTTGACTATTTTCGTGATGTTTGTGTGTGTGTGTGTGTGTGTCTGTATCCACGATAATTCAAAAACAGAAAAGAGAAGAACATTTAATTTTAAACTTAAGCTTTAATGCATCCTTTAATGAGTTGATTAGATTTTGGGCACAGTCGGAGCATCAAAGAGGTACTTTATAGGGGGTCGTTTTTCTACTTTAAGGAATGTATCTGTTAATTACGGATTGGAGAAAAAATATGGCAAATAAAAGTTGCATGTGAGGTCATTCTCAATAATTTTTGTCTATACACGATTTTCATAAAATGGTCCGTATCCGAGAAATTTGACAAAATATACAAAATTCGAATTTTGAAGATAACCAAATTTTAAACTTTCCCTTTAGGAAGTGACGCCGGTGCTGGTTTCCAAATTTTTAATACGGATGCCGGCTCTGGCAATCTTATAAAATGCATATGACAACTGACAGCTTAGATATTCCGCTATGTCTAGACACGGGTACCGGCGCATCGCTTATACACTCATTATTTACTTACTGTTTTATTGTAATTAATGTTTTAAAATAGTAAAAAAATTAAAGTTGGTGATAAGTTTTTTTCATATGACGAAACATCTGAACCTCTATCTCTCACCTTTCTCGCAAGCTTTCACTAGTAAACCTCATAATGACAACTTTCCACAACTTATCTGTCCATGTATTCATGTGTCCATTGAAAACATTCACTTTACAACCTTATTAAAACTCGGTAACAATATATCCCCAGGACTTGATGGCTTAACTTCATAATACCTAAAACGATGCGTAGATTCTCTAACCATGCCACTATCTATGATTATGCAAAAATCTTTCACTCAATGCTCCCTTTCAAACAGTTGGAAACTAGCATCGGTCGCCCCTTTTTTTAAAAAAGGTAATAAATTAGACCTCATAAATTAACGTCCCATTAGCCTTCTACCAATTATCAGCAATATTATGGAATCCATTATCTCAGAAGTCATGACTGATCAAGGTAACGTAATCTCACATCAACAACACTATCAAAGGTCGCTCAACACTCACAAATCTACTGCACTGTGTTAGTGACTGGACAAAGTCTTTGAACAACCATCAACCTATTGATAGTTCATTTAGATTTCACAAACTTGAACATCTGGGTATTCGAGTAAATCTGAATTTCTGGATTGGAGACTTTCAGACAGAAAGACCTGTCACCAGTGGAATTCCACAAGGCTCTATTCTGGGACCGTTACTACCGTTCCTCTTCACCATTTATGCCAGTGATCTACAATACCATATGTCAAGCAAAATCTCGTCTTACGCCGATGATACAAAAATCTATAATAATCCTTTTACCAGTCATTAAGATCTTCAAAACGACCTTAAAGCAATCTCGCAGTGGTGACCGTCACTTGCCGGTATGCCTGTCTGGGATCCTGACCTCATCCGGTATCAACAATCACTAGAAAATATTCAACGACGCGCTATTCTAGACTGTCATTCGGCCAAAAAAGACCCACTTATGAAGAAAAAGGATATAGCCAACCTGACGACTTTCTAATGACAACTGTGTTGATCTTATAAAATTTCGCACTCTTAAACAGTGGCGGCTCGTGGGCACTAGCGGCAGTGGGGCACACATTGGAAAGGAATCCCGGGAATAGTTTTTCCCTTAAGAAAACAAGTTCTCCGCTTAATGAAAATTAAATATATTTCAAAACAATCAGTTGGGGCAATAACGATTTCTGAATGTGACTACAGGGAGCTAAATGTGACCGCTCAAAATGCATTTAACTATGTACGTGGCTATTTAATCAAAAAATCATTACATATCCACTCTTGCGAAATTTGCGTAAATTTCTCAGAAGAATGCAATTTACTTAACAATTCTAACTTGTTAACACATTTTAAAGCACACGACTCTGAAGAAAAGGTGTTTGGCAATTTAAAATCTCCCAGCGAAAAATTTCGCTTTTATATTTTCAAATTGGAAAAAATATTTATATCTCTATTTGATAGTTTGTCAACTAAGCCTGGAATTTCTAACGCATACCTTTGAGATGAGCAAAATAGAATTTGGTCATCCTTGCTAACAATTTGCGAAA